TGTTCTTAGTAAATAGAGCCCCTTTCACTCTACTGATTTAATTTTGATAGTTAGACATGAAGCAATCATTTTGGATAGTCTAAAACAGTGCAGTCATACTGCTTTCCGTGAAGCTGTTTTTTCCTTTCCTGGGACCCTGTCGATGGTAAACTCTGGTGGTGCCATTTGGCTGAACGCTTTTCTGAGTGAACAGCATTTTACCCTCTCTTTTCTGAAGACTTAATTTTTAATGCCTTGAAATTTCATCATCTTTGGGGCTGGGCTTGGCATGGTGGCAGAACTTAACAATGATCTGAATTTTCAGGCTTCAGACTTGTACTTCCTAGAGCTGGCAGGAGCTCATGGGGTATGGACGGAACACGCTAACATGGCACGGAGGTTCTGAGAGAAGGTACAGCTTTATAGGAATCCTTCCCCTTTCAGCAGCTTTGGACAGAGAGGGTTTGCAGAAATAGAAAGAGAACATCACTCTCCTTGGCTAAAAGACTGTCACAAACCATGTTCTGAGAGTAAAGACAGACTTGGAAGACAGAACCACAGCTTGAAAAATCTCTTTACTTCTGAAAAGCACTACAAATCTGGAATACAGATACTCCTAAGTTCTTATTTACAAGCTTACCTTTGAGTAGCATGGTGGTTTGGAACACAGTGTGTACGTTACCTATCACTCATGAATCTGCATTTACTACTTTTTTGATAGAATGTTGTCATTTTCGTAAAAATGGAAGAATAAGAAAATTTTAAACTTTGCATGCAACGAGAAACTCAACTAATTTGAAAACTTCTTTCTCTCTCCAGATGGAGTGAGGCTGAACTTTCTGGGAGAAGATGCCTATTTGGATTGCTCACTGACCTTGGAGAAAGAGCGAGGGATATATCCTACCTTCTACTGTTCATGGGAAATGCAGTTACAGCACTTTTCCATGTTTCTGCACAGTACTGCACTTCAGAGAGGTGTCAAGGTGCAGCATATTTGAGTCTTTTGCTGACAGCTATACCGCCTTTGCTCTTACGCGACTGGAGTACACAGGGCTCAAATATACTCGTGCACATTTAAAATGTAATCTCAAATCAGTATCTTGAAAACAATCTCACTTCCAGCTAAGTTGTAAGGAAGAGAATAAGGACACAAAGCGGCACACGAGACACACACTCACACATGCATACTAACATAATCTTTTAACTCGTAACTCATTTCTGTAATACTAAGTTTACAAACTATAAGACAATTTGAAATGTAAATATAACAAAAACCAGAGCAAATCCAGCTGAAAAATGTCCTCATTCAAATTAAACTATGTTTTTAGGAGAAAATCTGACAGACTAAGACCATACCATTCGAAAGTTAAATATAGATTGGCAGACTGCCAACCTCACACTTGAGGGGGATTTCTGTTATTATCTTATACAACTGATATGCACCCTATTAGATCAATCTGCTAGTCAAAAGAAGAAAAAAAACCCTACTTTATATAAGCACAGGGACTTATTTACTTAAAAAGGGTTGCAAAGAAATGTCTTCATTTTTAAAAGATTCTGATCCTATTAATTTTTATGTCAAAAATAAAGGAAGAAATGCCAGACTTTCCCCCACTCTTATCAAAATTGTCCCCATCTTACCACTTATTCTGAACTTTTTCTACTGCTTTTCTCCATCAGTTCCTGATTTTCCCCCTAATTTTTCAATCCATTGAAGCAGTTCTTGGCAATACAATGCAGCCCCATATGTCAGTATACATCTAACATCTGCTACATCCTTGCACCTCATAGACTTCACCTGCAAGGGCTCTGCTGCTTTCATCCTGGTTCCCACTCTTCTTACTCTTTCTCCGTGTAGCACAGCACTTCTTCTCCGTCTGGGAAGGCCAGTAAGCACTTCCTTTACAGACCTAGTGCAGCTGCCACTGTGCTCTCCGGACCAGCCAGAAGAGGCTGCCCTGACAGCAGAGTGGAAAGAATGCTTCAGCATAGTGAAAACAAAACTCTTCAGTTCGGCATCCTGGGACCGCTCACGCAGTGACTAGTGGCAAACGATCAAAACTGGGCTAGTCACAATGAAAAGGCTCCCATGCTACTTGTTTACATGTCACTCAAGGGCACAATTACATATTGCACTTCCACAAAAATGCTAGTCAGAACAAAACTATTAATTTCTACACTACCCTGATGATATGAGAAACATACACTTTCATGCATGCATATATATAGCATGGATAAACTTTACTTTAGAAATAACAAAACAAACACAATTACTGCATATCTCAAAAAGCAAGAACTACAAGAGAAGCAAGAAAGAGACACAAAGTTTTGGCTACTTCTAATTAAAACTAAAAACATGAGGTTGCCCAATTATGCTCCCATCAGCATTCTCCTTTTCCATCAACACACAATATTATATTCATGAGCTCGCTGATTACGCACACTGTATTCCACATTATATAAGACTAGAAGAATGTGAAAAACCCATTACCAACAATCAATTCATTGTATGAGTTCATACACAGATTCCCCAGAATATCCTACCGTTCTAATTGCTGTAGGGATTCCAGATTCATCTACCGGGCCAATCCCTGCATAATGTGGAGCTTTAATGACTGTAATTTTTTTTTCTTCTTCTGAGGATCTACAGATTGGTATTGTACTGGTGGTAGTGGTGCTGCCAACAGTCTGAACATGCTGTGAATATGTCTCTGTGGACTCTGTAAAGATAACAGAATATTCTATAATGATATAATAATCACACTTGGCAGTTATAACATGCTTACCCATTTCAGTATGATGTACAAAAACTGACAATAACCTTAACCACATACATATACAGCACACACACAGAAAAAAACTTAGCTGGGGCTTTGACCTGCTTAATGTTACATTAACAGAATTATAAACTTATTCAAGGACTAGACAGGCTATTCAACTCAGGTCTTAGATCAGAGTTACTTTTCACAGCACCTTGTCCATTAAAAAAAAGAAAAAACCCACAAGCCCAGCAAAATCAATTGAGAAATAGTGGCAGCAGCCTTTGTCGTGTACATCAAACTCTTGCACCTTTTCTATCCATTCCTTAAAACTAGTGATATAATTTCAAAACTTTTCCTGCCCCCCAAGTCTAGCCAACTATAGAAAACTGCTGTTCTGTAAGCACAGCAACAGATTCCAAACAGCCCTCCACAAAGACTTATGTGATATGTGTTTAGAAATGTTAAGTTTTGGTGCATGAATATTTTTAAAACACAAATTCTGATGCACAATTTTTATCCCTTAAGGTTATGTTGGTATGTTTAAGTGCCTCTACATATAAACCACAAAAATGGACCTCAGTAACCTGGCATCTGTAGAGCAACCTGTTGATCTACCTGCAGTATTTCATGTGAACTGTTCAGGCTGCTACTGGTTTGTGGTGACTTGCAGTATTTCTACCCCTGTCCCCCAAGCCCACCTTTATAATTAATGAAATTAATACAACACTATTACCATTTTCCTCTGAAACTCAGAGTCACTTACTTCACAAAAACCACGTCACTGCTGGGATGTGTAATGTGAAAATTTGTGCTGCTGCAGATGATGTACTTCTTTCCTGTGTGCAGGAAAGAGCCCTACTTCTTCAGGCAGTATGTTCTAGTAAATTAGTGGGTGGCTATGACAGAGCATCTTTTTACGCAACAGCAGGTACAGCGCTTGTGAGACCTTTCCACCGCAGGATAAATGAATGTAGGGAGAAAAAAAAATATTCTAACACTACTGGTGAAGGCTACAATTGCATTTTCTCTGATGTTAACATCCATTGATTGTTCTGAAGCAAAATATTTGAACTGTAATATAAACCAGCAAAAGCACCTCTGGTAACTGAAAGCTCTAATTTTAATTTGAATATTTCTGCTCCTTCCTACTGCAGAGAACTGGATTTGGCATGGCTGTTTCAGCTGTTTACTCAAGTTGGAAATCCTGGAAATAGACCAGTGCTACACATATATGGCGAGGGGCAACCCTGCATGGCAAATGTCTGAATATTTGGGCCTTTTTCCCAAAATGCATGATGTTAAATTTAGAAGACATTTTGGATTTGATCCTTCATAGGCCTCAAACTGAAGGCTATCAGTGGGATTTTTACATGAGCAATGAGAATTAAATCAGGTTGTTATTGGGGAACACAGATCTTCAGCATACAAGAGTAAAAGTCACAGGAAGACACTTTAATTACTTCAGGTATATCCAAACCAGAATTGATAGGCCTTTAGATCAGCAAACTGGGAGCAATCAAATAGTCTAGAATCCTGGGATGTGGAGAAAACCATGTATACAGGCTTTGCACTTAGCACTATGATAGGATGTCCTAGGTTAAGGTGAGACAGAGTTAACTTTCTTCATAATAGCTAGCAAGAGGCTGTGTTTTGGATTTGTGCTCAGAAGAAAGCTGATAAAAAGTGATGTTTATGCAGTTGACAAGGTCTTTCAGCTTCTCTGGCTGTCTGCAAACAGGAGAAGCTGGGAGGGAGCACAGCCCCAGTTACTAGCCCAGGATTTGATCTTAGGTTCGGGATTGAGACCCAAAGTGGCCAATAATCTATTCCATAACATACACGTCTTACCCAGTATATAGGTGAGGATCCTCTGGAAGTTCACCCCTTTTATTGTTCTGGATCTCTTTTACTCTAGGTCATCTTGCTCCAGGTGGTCACTGTCCCAA